CAGAGTGTTGAAGAGAATTGTGAGGATGTGTTTTGTGTTTTTTTGGGCTTCAAAAATGGAGAAATTGAAGAGAGAGAAGGTTGTGAAATGTAAGGTGAATGGAGGAAAGGGGTTAGTGCATGTTGAAAGGTTCTTGGTGTTGCGGTATGTGAGTATGTGTGTGCGATTTAGTATGCGGGATAGTTTGGCGGGGTGTTTTGTGCGGTATGTGGGGGGAGGGGTGTTGAGGAGATGTAAGTTGTTTGAGAGTGATTTGAGGAAGCCGGTATGTTTTAGGGCGCCGTGGTTTTATATGAGAGTGGAGAGAGGAATTAGGAAGTATGGGTTGAGTGATGTGAGTAAGGAGCTGTGGGGGGAGTGTAAGAAGGTTTTGAAGGGGGTGGAAGGTAGGGAAGAATTGGAGGTGATAGGAGGGTTGACGGTTGTTGAAAGTGAAGAGGTGTGGAAGAATGTGTGTAGGAAGGATCTGTCAAATAAGCAGATGGATGTGTCATGGATGATTGTGCATGGCTGTTTGCCAACGAGAGTGTTTCAACGGAGAAGGAGGTTGGTAGATAGTGAGGTGTGTCCGAGAGAGGGGTGTGGGAGGTGTGAGGATGTGGTTCATGCAATATGGGGGTGTGGGTATGCGAAGGATGTTTGGAAGTTTGTGGAGACTTTGGTAAAGGGGCTGACGGGGGTGGGGAGGGTGACGTATGAGATGGTGGTGTATGGTTTATGCAAATTAGGGAAGGTGGAGAAAAGGATTTTATGGTTGTTGGTTTGTTGTGTGAAAGAAAGTTTGTGGGATGTGAGGAATATTTTGGTGTTTAAGAATGAGGTTGTGAGTGTAAGAGACTGTGTGGCTATGGTCCGTGGACGGTTGTATCTCCATGGACAATGTGACGTAAAGAAACTGGGATTGGAGGAGGCCCAGAAGATTTGGTGCTTTAGGCATTGGAGGTATTGGTTTTGAGCAGGGTTTTGTAATAAGTGTGGTGCATGGTATGTGTGAATGTTGTTTAATTATTTTACTATGTGTGTGCTATGGTATTAATGGGTTTTTCTGTTTTCAGACCTTTTTCGTTCTAAGGCAAGAAGACGCATCGTGAAAGCTTTTTCATTGATTGGTTGGTTTTTCAGTGCTGGGGGTGGTGGTTGGTGTTGGGTGTTGGTGGGGGGAGGATGTATTGTGTTATGCGTTTTTGTGTATTTTGTATTAAAAGTCCTTGTGGACTAGTGAGCATTTTGTTTTGGAAAAATGTTAAAAGCTGAATCATGAGAAAAATGTGTTTTTTTTGTTGTTGTTTGAAGTATTATTTCTGTAAATAATTTTATGAATTTTTAATCAAAAGAATTTAAAAAAAATCTGTTCTTATCAGTTTTCAGGGAAGAAGGGCATCTAGCCACCGGACGGGGAAGATGCTCAGTATTCCCTGATGTGATTGGTGGGTACTGGAGGGGCCTCCTTTCCTCCTGGGTTGATTCTAGTCCGGTTACCCAGGGCTTGTCCCCAGTTGTAGGCAGGAGGCTCTGAAGGTGCTAATGCCTCCTGAGAGAATGGGTGCGAAGCTTGGTCTGGCTAGAGGGTCGGGGGCGGCAGAAGCCCGTGGTGTTGTGCCCCCTGGGGGTGGCGTCCCAGGGGTGCGCAGAAAGTCACTTGGGTATGGGACCCCACATGACTCACTGTGCACTTGGTCACACACCACATTGCAATTTTCTGCACTTCGCCTCCAAGACAGGCCTTATGGCTAGTCTGGGGCAATATTTTTGCACTCCGGCCCCTAAGGCCTGTCAGCGTGGTGCACTGGCACTTTAGATTTATTTAAGCACTTCATGCACGATTGGCACTTTTTTTATTTTAAATTTTGACCCACATATTGCTGAAGGTGCAGGTTTCTTCGGGGCCTATTCCTGACGCTGGGAGGAGATTCTGTGCCTCCTATGGGGTTCTCTGTCTCCTCCCACCCAGGAGGTGGGTCTCTCTTCGGGAGAGCCCACCTGCCTAGTACTGTGAGGGACCTGTTGTGGCCGGTCCCCGAAGGAAATGGGTCCACCGGCCTTCGGGTTGGTGGACCAACAGTCTCAACCCCTGTCAGGAGCCTTGTGCCCCGGGGGTCGGGAAAGTAGGTCCCTTCTTTTGAAGGACCTTGCACCCTTGTGCACGTTTTTGTGTGCTGTGATTTCACGGTTCACTTTTTTTGTTCACAGGGGGAAGTTTGATGCACGTCCACGGGCTTCGATTAAAAAAAAAAAATCTGTTCTTATCAGTTTTCGGTGGGGAAAAGAACCGTCCTTGCGGGGGATGGTTACTTAGTACTCGCTGAAGTGAAAGAGCGTACTGGGTTGGTGTCTGTGAGAGGGGAACAGCCCGGTACAGGCTTTCTGACTGAATGGATACGAAGCTTGGTCTGGCTGGAGGGTTGGGGGCAGCAGAAGCACGTTCAACGGGCTTTAAAAAAAAAAAAAATCAAGTGAGATTGCGGGGCGACCTAACTTTGATTTAATTAACACTACCCCGTTAACGAGTATATACCGTGTTTCCCCGAAAATAAGACACAGTCTTATATATTTTTTTGGCTCAAAAAAACACACTAGGTCTTATTTTTTTAATGTACAACAATCCGCACTTATTCATATACAAACATATGATGATCAGGGCAATCAGGGGTGCCGTAGCTTTCCAAGAGCAATGTGATAACCAATCGCTGGCCAGAATGAGCAAAGCGCACTTTCACTATCGATTCCTCACAGGCGGAGCGCATTTGGTATCACTCCGCCTGTGACAGGAGTCGGCGCTATAGAGGAGGGATCGGCTTATGCGACTCTGCTCCCTCCGCTGCCTCCCCGCTTCCTCTAGCGCTGGCTTAGTTGGCACCGCCGATTCTCTCCCGCGGCTCTTCAAGTTCCCCCTTATGCCACCACCGGCCCCGGGAATGGTCACAACTAGGTCTTATTTTCGGGGTAGGTCTTATATTTTAGCCATTCCCAAAAATAGTACTAGGTCTTATTTTCAGGGTAGGTGTTATTTTCGGGGAAACAGGGTACGTAAATTGTGTGTTCAGCTCTGAACCAGCCATCACTAAAATAAATTGACTTTTCAGGATGTCTTATGCCATGTTTTTATGGCCGCACCGTGACACCCTGCTCTTCTGGAGGACTCCGGACCATGTCAAATGGGTGCATCACTTCGTCCGCCTCTCTTCATACCCAGATGCCCCCACCACTCTGGAACAGGGTAAATCTGGACTCATCAGACCACATGACCTTTTTCCATTGCTCCAGAGTCCAATCTTTAGGCTCCCTAGGACACTGAAGCCTTTGTTTCCCATTACACTCACTGATGAGCGGTTTCCTGAAGGGTTAGCCCCCCCCAGCCAATAACTGTTAACATCTCTACTTCTATGTGAGATCTAACACAAACAACAATTGATCTAACATTTTGATATGGGGGCTTACACAGCTGAGGTGCATGCAGCCAGTACAGTCTGAAGTCTCTTTCTGCAGGCTTGTTCTGGGTCAGTGACTTATGAGGGTTGGGACGACATCTCTGAATGGATCTTTAGCATTACGCCATCAGTGGAAGCTCCTCACTGCAAGCCGGACCGGGGACTGCAGGGACCTTGATGGATGTTGATGGCTGCTATACTTTATTCTTAAACTGGAGCTCTTTGATAGATAGTTCCTAATGTTTTATAGATGTTTTTGCTTTTTAGAACTAAAGATTTCATTTGATGACTCCAGCAATGCCTCAGCGAAGGTCAATGTCACAGGAACACATGAAGAGACTCGATGATACGCAATGCATTCCTTTAAATGAGGCAGAAAATGTGTTTAGCGTGTTACAATAGTAGTCCCCTCGTCTTCAAGGAACAAAGTACCAAGAGAAATACATTCTGCAACCTGCCACAAGTCATCTATTACTGATCTGACTTTAGTGAATTCTCAAGGGGATGGAACAAGGAACTAAGGAGGAGGAGCAAGGAACTTGAAAATGGAGCAAAGAACTCAAGGGGATGGAACAAAGAACTAAGGAGGAGGAGCAGGGAACTCAACAATGGAGGAGGGAACTAAAGGGGAAGAAGCAGACAACTTAGGAGGGGAGAAGAGGACTCAAGGGGATGGAACAAGGAACTAAGGGAGAGGAGCAGGAAACTCAACGATGAAGAAAGAAACTCAATGGGATGGCCCAAGGAATTCAGGGGAGGAGCAAGTAACTGAAGGGTATGGAGAAAGGAACTCGGAGAGTAGACTGGGGCTTCCTTTCAAGGTCCTCAACACTTTTAAAGATTTAGGCTCCTCAACCAGAAGGAGAACTTGAGAAGGGCAAGGAGATGGAGCAAGGAATTAAGGGGGAGGAGCAGGAAACTCAACAATGGAGGAAGGAACTTAAGGTGAAGAAGCAGGGAACTCAAGAGGGGAGCAAAGAACTCAGGAAGTTCCGGGGAGGAGCAAGTAACTGAAGGGTATGGAATAGGGAAAGGGCTTCCTTCCAAGGTTCTCAACACTTCTAAAGATTCAGGCCCCTCAACCACATGAAGTTCTCTCCAGTGCCATGGGGTCTATAATCCCAAACTCCCCAGCAACCCTAGAATAAGTTCAGATGGTTCCACCATGACTGATCTCCTTCAGTCAGGGTCAAGTCAACAAGAGCATTAGAAAATGTGATACCTATACAAACTAAACCTTGTCGGCCTGCTACCATTTTGGTATTCCAAATTGATGCTCTTGTTGGCATGGCCTTGGTCTGCTGAGCGAGTCCTTCATCGCTCCTACAGACTGGAGTTTTTTTGCCTTTTTTACCGGCTAATTTTTAAAAATAATCTGATGCCTAAAGCTTTGATTCTAACAAGGGAAACGGTGTCCAGCCATGCCAACAGGTTATGACCTGTATTGATATATTGATAATAGCGAATGAGCAACAATAAGACACGACAAGCAAGGAGGATGAAGGCCGAGACCAGACCAGAGCTGGAGCGAGATTTTATCTTTATTACATTTATTCCACTCCAAAACATTTTCTGATGAAGATGATCTGAGTTAACGGGAGTGGACCTTCTGGTGTTTGATCAGATGGGTGGTTTGGGCGAAGGCCTTCCCACACTTCATACACATAAATGGTTTTTCCCCGGTGTGAAGCCGCTGATGTCTAATAAAATTTGACCTATCTATGAACTCCTTCCCGCACTCCGAGCACGCGAAAGGCTTTTCCCCCGTGTGTATCCTCCGATGCCTGCTAAGGTAAGACTTGTCCAAGAACTCCTTGCCACAGTCAGAACATGTGAAGGGCGTCTGACCCGTGTGTGCTGCCCTGTGTCTCACGAGTGAGGACTTGTCCAGGAACCCTTCGCCACACTCGGTGCAGGAGAAAGGCATCTCATCCGAGTGTGTTTTCTGATGACTACGGAGCAGCGAGGACCAGGCGAATCTCTGACCACACTCTGAACATGAATATGGCTTCTCCCCCGTGTGAACTCTGTTGTGACTGCCGAGGTCGGTTTTTGTGATGAAACCTTTGCCGCACTCCGAGCAGGTAAAAGGCGCCTCGCCGGCATGAATTTTTTGGTGAGCAAGCAGCCGTGACTTCTCTTTGAAACACTTTCCACACTCGACACAAGGAAAAGTCACGCCTTCGTGATTCCTCTGGTGAGCGCGGAGGTGGGAGGACCACGCAAAGCACTGGCCGCACTCCAAACACGTGTAGGGCCTTTCGCCGGTGTGCATCCTGCGGTGCTGCAAAAGCTTGGAGCGAAATGGGAAATGTTTGCCGCAGTCCACGCACTCGAATTTCATCTCCCCAGAGTGAGTCAGCTGATGCCGGTCGAGAGAAGCCTGGCTCGCAAAACACCTTCCGCACTCCGAGCAAGAATACGGCTTCTCCACCGCGGCCTTCTGTCCGAGACTGGACTTTCGCCCCAAGCCTTCGCCACATGCGGAGCACGAAAACTGATTCTCGCCCGTCAAGACAACGTCTGTTTTGGCTGTGAAACATTTCCCGCAATTGGAACATATGAAAGGCCCCTCGCCCTTGTGAGTTTCATGGTGTGAGATAAGAGCGGACAATCTGGAAAATTGCTTTCCGCACTCTGAACAGGAAAACGAGTCCGGCTCTGATTCACTCTGAGAAGATCCCTCGGGGTCACATCTTAATGGTCGTCGTGTTAAGGATTTCTGAGCGGTGGCATTCTGTTTAGAAAGGGTCCTTCCCGTCTGGGTTTTCCTACTGACGGCTTTGCCTGCAAGCAAGGGAAAAACAATCAGAACCACGGGAGAACTGTGGAGACCATAGCAGAGCCTAAAAACTGAAAAGTCACCATTTACATAACAGTACCGTCAACATGTGACCACTGACCCTCACGGTATATGATGAAAGAAGGGCGTGTCGGAGGATCTTGCCATTGCAGTATCTGTCATAGGCAACTGAAGACAGTTTGTTGCCCCCATCAGTCCCTGCTCAACTTCAGCAGGCCAAGACTCCTCCAAAGACATCAACGGGAGATGCAAGACGCCACAAAAGTTCAACTTCAACCACAATGAGGGGCCAGAAACAAACCATCATTAAGGCCAAAAAAACAAAAGGAGGCCAGAGAGACCAGAAGTTCTGGAACACCCAAATAATTCAACCCCAAATCAGGCCACGTTGAAGACCAGTGTGGACTGGCAGCTAGTAAAGGGGTCTTAGGTTCCTTTCCGAGCTGCCAGGCCACCCAAGTAAATAAATGGAATCCTGAAAAGTTGACCGAACTTACTTCCCCTCTCTTTAGGAAACCAGAACAATGGTTGGTGGATACGTGTTGTAGAGGCGGTTGATGGTTACATCACCGGACTGTCAACACACAACTTCATGTGAGGACATTTGGCATCTAATAAGTGTTAAAGGCTTTGACTCCTCCCCCGAGTACATCAAATCCTCATACTGACAGCTGACAGAGGAAGGGGAGCCAGGAACTGCTGTACAGGCAGAACATTGTGAATCTTTTTTTGTAGTCAATGTTTATTACTCACGTGTGCAGATCTCTGTAGGAATGTCCTCCTCCTTCACCACCACCGGGATGATGATCTCCTCATCTTCCGATTCCCCTTTCACCAAAACGTTGATGTCTTTCAGGCTCTCAGCCTAAAAAGTTTAGGAAATATAAACATTAGCCAAGTGTATACCTGCGGATGTCTAATGAGATCCTTACATCCACCAACCTGATCATGGTGAGGGACGGTGCGATCTTCCTGTGTGGAAACCCGGGAATACAGAGGACGGAGACATCTCTCTGGTGGGTTCCTCTTACTGGATCCATCTGTAGGAAACACACACACTGACTGAATACATTGTTTCTATGTGTGTATCAGATGATGGGGGATGTAGGTGGACCCTCCGTACTGCTCTCTCCTCTTACCCGGTGATGTGAGGGGCGACTCATTCTCCATCATGACGTCCTTGTAGAGATCCCGGTGTCCTTCTAGATACTCCCACTCCTCCATGGAGAAATAGACAGAGACATCCTGACACCTTATAGGAACCTGACACACACAATGATACAGTCACCACCCAGACACATCCCTCGTCTGTTCCTGGATCATGTCCCAGAATTCCCGGCACCGCTCACCTCTCATGTCAGCAGCGCAATCATCTTGTGGGTGACTTCTAGAATCTTCTCGTCTCAGAAAGTGAGAAGGAAAAACTGTGTTGGCTCCTGTTTAGGTTCTCCAATGTCTAAGGTCAACTCTTTCTTCTTCTCCTCCTTTTGAACCTGTGTATGAGAGTTCAGCTGTTACCACCATGAACATATTCCCTACACTGGGCAATGTGAGGTCCTTCACAACCAATATCTGATATGTAGATCAGATAATAGCCACGTGTATGTTTCAAAGAAGAGTTCTCCATCACTCACTGTCCGTATGGGGCTCTTCTACAATAGTATGTAGAGGAGTTCAAAATCTGCTGCACAAGTGATAAAATACAGCATGGTTTGGTCTGAACCTTTCCTCTACCACCCAATACCCGGCTAAGCTGCTGCTGACTGAAGCCTTATAGCTATGATGGCTCTGGACTGTCTATGGTTGAGCTGGTTGAGGCTCCAGCAATGGTGGCCAGAATAAGGCTCATATTCTTATCTATGGTGGACCGGGTCTGATGAGGTTTGTGCTGGTTGTGGTTGTAGCAATGGTGGCCCTGATCTACCTAGACTTTCCCTGGGTACACCCTTACCTATGGTGGACCAAATCTGACCAAGGTTGTGTTGGCTGCAACAGGTGTCAAATCTTACTAGAGTTGTCTGGTCACAGTCTATGTATGATGGCCCTCATTGGTTTAGGGTTGTGCTGGTTGTGGCTCCAGCAATGATGGCCAAGAACTAGATAGGCTTGCCCAAATCAGAGCCTGATGTATGGTGCCCCTGATCTGGCCAGGGCTGTGTTGGCTGTAGCTCCAACAATGGTGACCATGATCTACCTAGAGTTGTGTGGTCACGGTCTGTGTATGATGGCCCTAATCTGCTTAGGGTTGGGCTGCTTGTGGCGCCGGCCATGATGGCCAAGAACTAACTAGATATGCCCAAGTCACAGCGCTATGTATGGTGCCCCTGATGTGACCAGGGTTGTGTTGGCTCCAATGATGATGGCCATGACCCAAGTAGATCAGTGCTGTCCCCAGGCCTGTGTATGAAGGGCCACACCTGGGTTGCTAGTATGATCCTCCAGAATATCTTTGATCTGCACGGTTAACCTTCCTGGAACTGGCTCAGAGACCCCAACTGATTGGCTGAGAGAAGCAGTGACATCACTAGTGCCAGCTACACAGCAGGCTGCAGAACAGAACCAATACAGCTGAGGATAGAGCCAGGAAGAGGCGGGGCTGTGATCTCCAGCTCCTCCCACTGGATATATTTGTGGACAGAGGTGGAGTATGGCCTGTAGTTGGAGTGGCGGGAATGGAGGTCAGGGGGAGCAGGCTGGGCTCGCCATAGTACTGCCAGCATTGTCCATCTGTTTCATCACAATGGCCGACTACGACCTGATCCCCCCCGAGTCACTATCCAGCCAAACTTCTGATATCTTGGCCCCGCCTCCATCTCGAGCGCTACGCAGTGTCTCAGCCCCCTTCCCCCGCTGAACCTCTGTTCCTAAATCTGAGGATCCAATAGATGGCAGACATTGGCTGGGGGCGGAGCCCCTGAGATGTTCATACATGATTTGTGTGGTCCGCCCCACATTATTAAATAACCCCTCCACCTATAATGGAATGCAACCCCCAATCCTGCCCTTCCCTGACATGGAGAAGACAGCGCTTTCTGTATCCAGGGACAGATCCCCCATCCCCTGCCTCTTCCTTGGAATGGCACACAGACAGGCCAGACTGCAGGGATTTTTTTTTTAGGGCCAGCCCCACATTATTGAGATCTGTCCCTGGAAAGGAAATAAAATCCTCCTAACTCCACCCACAATGAGAACAATACACTCACCAGCCTCCACTGTGCTCCCTTCACCAGCACAGGAAATATTTTCACCACTTCCGGTGCTCAATTCTCCACTTCCGGTCGACGCTGACGGCCATGATGAGTGTGGCAGTATTCTAGACAACAGACCGGAAGTAAAGGAAGCTTGAAGCTTCACCGGTGGGCCCCGGAGAGCACAGTTTGCGGGGTGTACATCTTACCTCTGGCAGGTCAGATCTGTGTTGGAACGGAGGGCTCGTTAGAGGTGTCGGCCAGTTCCACAGCTATATCCGGCGCCCAGGCAGCCATCTTTCTTTAGGGCAAAATGTCCTGGCACTGTCCGTGCGCTTCACCAAGCACTACTTCCGGCATATGCGTTCCAAAGTCTGCTTACTTCCTGGATGTATTTCCGGTTATTTTCTCACCTTGTTACAGTGACATCGTGTGGTCATTTTTCGAACGGTAGTTTCTAATACGTATCATGTGCGCCCTCTTGTAGTAAATATCAGAACTGCAGTCATTATCATCAACATGTAAGTTCGCCACGTCTGGTCATTTTTGTCTTGCACAAGAGCGCCACCGTGTGGACATTTTCTGAACTGTAGATCCTAATATGTATCATGTGCGCTGTGTTGTGGTAAATATCAGAACTGCAGTCATTATCATCAATATGTAAGTTCGCCAACGTCTGGTCATTTTTGTCTTGCACAAGAGCGCCACCGTGTGGACATTTTCTGAACTGTAGATCCTAATACGTATCATGTGCGCCCTCTTGTGGTAAATATCAGAACTGCAGTCATTATCATCAATATGTAAGTTCGCCAACGTCTGGTCATTTTTGTACTGCACAGGAGCGCCACCGTGTGGTCATTTTTCGAACTGTAGCTCCTTCTACATATAATGTGCGCCGCCTTGTGGTAAATATCAGAACTGCTGTCATTATCATTAATATATAAGTTCGCCACCGTCTGGTTATTTTTAGAATTGCAGCTTTCAATGCTACTTATGTGCGACGCCTTGTGGTGATGTCCGAACTCTTTATCAACACAAAGGAGCGCCCCCGTACGGCCACTGTGAGTACTGCAGTTACATTGATATAGTTGGCCATCTTTTAGAACGGCAGCATTAAGTATTACAGCACAATGGCGCCACCTTGTGGCCATATTTAAGAGCTGCCATTCTCTCAGTTTTTCAATCCTAATTGCACCTTCTTCTGGGGGGTGACTCCTGGAACCCTGAAATTACTCATCGCTACTGAAGAGCCCCTATAGGAGGACATTGCCTGAGCCTTCATTACTCCACCTATTTTATTTTAGCTTTGGATGGAGCAGGGAAGGGTTAGAACCCCATCCAGGATTTCACTGCTCTCTCTGGCCCCGCTATGGAGATTTCCCCCCTCTATATATTTCCTGGTACCACTCTCTGCAAGACCAAAAGTAATGAGAAGAATCCAAAACTTCACCAGAACCGGAAGAGAGGGGAAATCATCTAATGGGATCCCCTTCATTTGCTCTGGTGACCATGTAAAAGGGGAATTTCTTCACTTTACGAGATTTCTTCTCACTTCCTGTTGTGTCTCCAGGACAGGAAGTAAAAGGACAATCTCTCCAATGGGCAATTCCCTAATCCATCTAAAGCTAAAAAAAACAACAGTGCTCTGCTAGTCCTGTGATGCCTCATTGCCCAGTGGAAATGCCATTCAGGGCCCCTACTGAGGCCGGTCCCAACAACCCACCCCATTGGTCATGTGACATCATGTAAAGAAGGAGAGTGGTCAGTGCACCGCAGGTCGCAAGGATGGTCACAGCAGGGACTGGGTGCTTTACACGGCCTTGTATATCCGACGAGAAGCCAGAATTGGGGTAACTATCTTTATTACACTAAAGTAAAATTAGAACGTTTATGATTTAGA